GAGTGTAATATAAATAAAGGAGACACACATAATATATATGTATAAATATATAATAAATGTATCTAACTAAAAAATTTTAAGAGGGGGGGGGGGGCACGTGCCCAACCTGGCCCCAACCTCCCTCCTCCAATGGTGGGGGCAACATAAAATAAGAGTGCTAACATTTACTTTTGTAAAAATAATTGCAGAAAAAAGCAATGTAAAAAAAAAAAAAAAAGCGTCACTATAAAAGCTTTTCATAAATGCCAATTCAGATCATACGAGTAAACTTATTTTTTGAATTGAACTTTCATTATTATCCAATTTTCTAAGAGTTTGATCATTGTNAACATTTACTTTTGTAAAAATAATTGCAGAAAAAAGCAATGTAAAAAAAAAAAAAACAAAAGCGTCACTATAAAAGCTTTTCATAAATGTCAATTCAGATCATACGAGTAAACTTATTTTTTGAATTGAACTTTCATTATTATCCAATTTTCTAAGAGATTGATCATTTTACTTGATAATATTCCAAAGAGATCGATACACTCAATTTAAATCCTAATGATCATAGCAGCTAACTGTTAGCCAAAAAAAAAAAGAAGTAATAATAACATAACTCTAATTATAGTACTAAGAAAATTAAAAAAAAATCTCAAAAATTGTCAAAATTATAGAAATTGTTTATGCGTTATCTCTCATAGTAGCTTTGACAGAATTTCTTATTTTCTTTAAAGTTATCCAGTCAATGTACTTGCTAAACGCTAATAGAATCAAAAACGAATTGGCGAAATATTAAATATAAAAGATAAAAGAGAGAAAAAAAAAGAANAAAATTATAGAAATTGTTTATGCGTTATCTCTCATAGTAGCTTTGACAGAATTTCTCATTTTCTTTAAAGTTATCCACTCAATGTACTTGCTAAACGCTAATAGAATCAAAAACGAATTGGCGAAATATTAAATATAAAAGATAAAAGAGAGAAAAAAAAAAGAAAAGGGATATCAAAAGAGAAAAATTATGAGAAAATAATACTTACAATCATATATAGCCATGCTAATATCTTATTGAGTTTGCACTATGCATCAGTTATGTTTAATAAGAATATGTTGTGTTTATCTATGTTCGTGTTGAATCATTTATTTGGGAGATCTAATGAGTCCATTCATTATCACCAAAATCTATTAAGATTAAACCACCCTAATTCTGAGTTAATTTTGTGACATGTTCATGAGTCACATTAAAATTGTTAACNTAATGAGTCCATTCATTATCACCAAAATCTATTAAGATTAAACCACCCTAATTCTGAGTTAATTTTGTAACATGTTCATGAGTCACATTAAAATTGTTAATATTATAATACTTAATTAAAATTATCCAAATAAAGAAAATTGGATGCCACTAGCCTATAGAGATCAAGTGTGACCCAAAATAAATGCAAATCTGTTGGAATTTTAGTTAAATATTTGTTTCATTTGGAATTATTAGATCTAAAAGTGACGACATATACGGTTAGGGTCGCTTTCTATTTTTGTTGGAGACTNTCCAAATAAAGAAAATTGGATGCCACTAGCCTATAGAGATCGAGTGTGACCCAAAAAAAATGCAAATCAGTTGGAATTTTAGTTAAATATTTGTTTCATTTGGAATTATTAGATCTAAAAGTGACGACATATACGGTTAGGATCACTTTCTATTTTTGTTGGAGACTTTTTTTTTTGTTTTTGGATCAGATTTTGTTGGAGTGAGAACAAATATATATTTTTAATGTTTCATTTTAGCTCTATAGTCCCCAAATACGTAGAGCCGACACATGGACCCAGTCAACATGTAAGTCTACCAAATTTGGCAAATTACTGCTAAGTTTTGATTCAATTTTATCATATAATCACTCAATTACATAAATACATTCATGTATTCATATATAATTCGGATTGAATTATTATCGAATTGGATGTTGATAAATCTAAATCTGAATCTATAACATATGATATAACTCGGATTTGGATAATTGGTCTACAAAACAATTCATATCCGTTTCNTATAGAAATACACATACGTGCATGTATATATATACACATATATACAAACGCACACACGTACATATCATGCATGCTAAAGGGTGGCCTATTTGAATTATGTTTGGAAACATTTATGTATTTAGTGTTATTCCAAAATTAAAAAAAAAGTTCATTTTTTTAGATGAAGCAACCTAGAGTAGGAAAAGTTGGGGCTTTAGATGAAGCAAGTTAGTTTTTAAATTCTATGTAAACAATAACTTGATGGTCAATAACAGGGCCGGAGCCAGTCTTCTCCTACAGTAAAGGCAGGGGCATAGCCAAGAATTTTGTTCAGGGTGTGCACTTTAATTATGCACTCTAATTTTTTTTTCTTTTAACTAATCACACTATATAACATATTTATATTTATTATATTATATTATATTTGATATATGACATCCATTTAACATAAAAAATTTCAAAAAAAATATATATATTATCAGAGGCGGAGCCACGAATATCTATGATAGAGGTAAAATATAACTGGTATAAAACAATATTAAGCCGATATTAATACAAAAAAATTCAATTCAAGAATAAAAAAAAAAGAGTAAGAATCAATATTAAATTATTGTGAAATAGTAAATTCAATTTTTATTTAGTCGAAACAAAATCTTAACAAAAAGACATAAAATAGTTTTTTTAGTATATTTTAACCTAATAATATATTTTCATAAAATATAAAATTTATTAAAATCTCTAAAATTTTGTATATGAATTAAATGTAAATTAATTTTTGTATTTTATTAGGTTATAGACTACTATTACTAAAAAAATGGTAAATGAAAATTAAAAATTATTCTTAAAAAATAACGAACATTGTATTAGATAAAGAGAAATATTATATTTTCGTCAATATACAAATAAAACATTGACTCAATTCAAAACTAACATAGTTAATTTGGGTGGATTATGATAGGTCAAATATTTGATTTTTTAATAAGTTTGGATAGATAATAGTGAGTTCAATTTTTTTTTGTTTTAAATGGACTTAATTTTTTAATTATTTTGAGTAAATAATATGGGTGTAATATAAATGAAGGAGACACACATAATATATATGTATAAATATATAATACATGTATCTAACTAAAAAAGTTTAAGGGGGGGGGGGGGGGGGGGG